CAAAAAAAAAAAAATTTAAGGGGAAAAAAAAAGGTTTATTTAGTTCAGTTAGTGGAGATTTCAGTCCATACTTGGCTGGCTCCAAGACAGGTAACACACGACAAAAAGCAACCTTTCCTGCCAGCGTCAAAGACCAGAAAGCAAAAGCAGAGGTAGCAGCTCAGGCATCTAACTAGCTTCTCATCCTTCCTTACATTGTAGTGTAAATCACCAGCTCCAGGGCAGGTGCAGCATCCACACTTATAATAATCAATTCCAAACTCCAGCAGCTGCCCCATGACTACATGAGGCTTTTGGGGGACAATTAGACACCAACGACCACATTCTGACCCTGGCCATACAAAGAATTATGCAATCCCTTTAAATAAAAGGCATTTTAGTCCATCTCAAGGAATTTCCAAAATCCCAACAGTTTCAGCATTGGCTGAATAGTCCAACTCCCAAGTCTCCTCCAAGATCCTAAGCAAACTCTTATGTATGACACCCTGTACAAATGAAAAGCTAAACACTTCCAACATTCAATGGCACAAGATAAGTATTATCATTCCAAAAGATACACACAGCAAGATGCCAAGCATTGGGACCAAAGCAAGTTCAAAATCCAGAACGGCAAATATTTAGTCCAGTAGTTCCATGTGGAGCATCTGAGACAATCTGTAGCAAATTGTGAGCTCCATGTGGCTCCACCTCTATGTCTCTCCTGCACATAGTTCCCATGGCTTTGCTCTCAGGCTAGCTTTGCTTCTTTTTTGCAGTTTCTCTTAGATGTTCCATGTTGCTGGCTTTTCCAGTCTTCTGGGATTTCCAATGAATAGGCTTCTCACTCACAGCTTTAGGGACACACTGACGGGCCTTCCAGGCCTTCTGAAATTTCGGTGATAGTCTTCTTAACCTTAGAACTCCTGCATTCTACATGCATGTAAAATTAATGACCCTTAGATGCTGCCGAATTGCTTTCTGGAGTGGTATCAAGGCTTTCTTCTCTCTTGCCTGTATTGCTTGAGTGCCTGCATCTCTGAGCACAGTGAACCTGATCCCAAGGAAGAAATTCCCATGCTGGCACCATACTGGAATCTTGTATCACTGCTGCCACTGCCATTCAGGAACATGGGGCTCTGTGGCTTCCTTCTCAAGGGAAAGTCCCTCCCCATGCAATTCTGAGGCTGCAAAGGATGGAGACCTACTGCCTTCAGCAATGCCCTCAAGTCATTCTTTCAATTCTCTAGTTCCTTTCTGGCAGTAGAGATCCTCTCAATTCTATCTTTGTATTCCACAGCATTATTGGAGCCTCATTTCTAGTGAGACTCAAAGTATTTTAAATCATCCTTCTGGGCTCTTTGCTCTTGATTCTCAACATAAATCTGACCAGAAGCCCCAACAACATCCATGCACTGCTTCAATATTCGACTGCATTGAAATTTCTTTCATAAGTTTTAGTCAAAGGCACTTAATCTCAGTCTCAGGCAAAGTCTCTGGAAAAATGCAGACAAACTTTCTTCCAAGCCATAACACAAATAATCTGGAGTCCAACAACCAATGCAGTCTTTCCCAGCAGAAGCCTCCCCAGCCTGATCTTTACAGGCAGGATTTCTATCAGCATTTGTGTCTTTAGAGCTTTGACTATAATTTTCCATAAAGAACAGCTGAAAGTGTTCTAGCACTTCTCTTGTAGGAGACATCTCTGAACATGTCCAATCTCTTCCCATAAACTGTTCCCAAAAGCTTATAATCCACTTGGACAGGTTTAGCCACAGCAATGACTTCACTTCTCTGATGTGGTTTAGTTACTCTTCTCTCATTGCTGGCACAAATTATCCAACACTTGGGTCTTTGCAGGTGATTGATACCTATTTAGAATATCAATCCCAGGAGCTACTCTTTTAGCATTTGTTTGGCCTTTCGGTCTGGTTCACAGCAGGAGCATCCGTCCCTCCCACAGTTGTAAGGCATCTCCTCTTCTGTGTTGTCTCCTTCAAGGGCCTGGCCCTGTCTGACTGCCTATAATATTTGTATCTAACTCAGCTGCCTGCAATACTCCCCCCTCTAAAGAAGTAACCTGAACTGCCGTAAAGGGAAATATGGGCGAAGACCGCTCTGGCTTTTTTACGCTGAAATGGGTCGTTCTTGTTGACTGGCAGTCAGATATATTATTTAGAGGTTTTAGCTAAAGGCCCTCGATAGAGGACAGGCATTTTTTTCTTGGATAGACGTATAGCTTTGAGTCTCCATCCAATGATCTCGGTGAAACCTCCAAAATGATACAGGGAGAAAAACTAATCTTGGGTGGGTGACCTCCAAACCATATAGGGAACCTCCAAATGACACAGAGAAAAACGATCTCCCGACCTGACCTGTATGAGTTGTGTTCTCTAAAACCGAAGAATGAATTTTAGGAACAAATGGAGATTATAAGCAGAATATATTTATTTAGGTTATTCCCCTAAAACTCTATTTAAACTCTATTATTTAAAGGTTTTAAAAGGAAAATGGCTATCTCTGGGGATAAAGGAAGGTATAACTAAAGAACACCACACCACATATAGCAGTGTTCTACTTCTATACCACATGCCTAGTTTTAACTCAATAAATATTTCACTTATTCATGTCTGAATTATAACTTTTACAATTAAAGCAGTTTTCAAGAAGAGAATCAATCAGTTGGTATGAGGAAGATTAGTCAAAGCATCAGTTAACAAAGAGAGATATTCCATATTTCAAATCCATTCTTTGACAAAATACGTGAATATCTACCAGTCATATGCCAGGTGCTAACAATATAACAAAACGTGAATCAGACAGCACTAATTTTTAAAAAATATACAGCCATTTTCTTCATTAAGTTTGAGAGCATCGCGCTCTCTTCCCCTTCATCCCCCACCCTCCTTTTTCCCATTTCCAGCAAATTTTAAATTCCAAAGACTAACAAAATTAAACATTTCTAGTCAAGTGAGTCAAGAACTCATAGGCCTTGTTAGTAAGCTCATAACTGTTATTTCAAAGGTTAAACTGTTCATTTAAATCTCAGCATGGTTACACTGTCCAGGAAATGGATTATGTTATAAGAGTTCTCATATTTACAACTGGCTAATAGTCTTTTTAATTAAATGAGTAAAGAAAAACATTTGCTGTAACTCCA